AAAAAAAAAAAAAAAAAAAAAAATCCAGCAGGTCCAAAGATCCAGAGGCTAGAAAGATTATGGAGTTTTCAAAGAATAGCAATAATGAGCCAGAATGGCCGGAGCAGAGAGACGGTATACGCTGGAACTGAGAGGGTCAGGCAGGGGCCAGGCCACAAGAGCTGTGTGAAGGATTTGAGTCTTTATCCTAATGATGGCAGCAAGTATTCACATGCCAGACACTGCTCTAAGTGCCTTCCATATGTTATCTCATGTAATCCTTCCAGTGACGCTAATGTAGGGGACAATTTTTATCCCGATTTTACAGATGATAAAATCAAGGCACAGAAAGTCTCAGTAACATATCAGGGTCTCGTAATAAGCCACAGAACCCGAATTTAAACCTAAGCAGTCTAGTTCCAACATCCACCCTCATCCATCACACCATACTGCCTTTCAGAGCCATAATGTGTCACCAAAGTGCTGCGATGGAGATGGGGTAGCAGAATCAGATTTGACTTGTGAAAAGATTGCTGTGGCTATGGGTTCTTATCACTCTAATCACTGCTTGCACCATGCTTGGGGAGGACACTGGGAGTCATCAGTCTATCTGGTGGTGTGCTGGTGCTGGCTTGCAAAAGCTCACTGTGCACATCTGTTCCCAACTTCCCGATCAATGATGTCACATCAGTAGCTTGAAATCAGCTAAGGCGAGAGTATTCACACCATGGAAAGGGGCACACACTACAAACCAGTGTCTGCTCTTCTCTGTCGAGCTGGCTGATAAACAGTTACCAGCACAACACTATCTCTGCCTCACCCCTATAGCGTCTCAAAGTCCCGGTCCACGTCCTTCAATTTCCAGCCCCCATGTCTTGAAGGATGAGACAGGAAGGTGAGGGCCCTGAGTCTAGGAGTACAAAGGCCTAGATTAGATTATAGCCCAGCTCTGCTAGGCAGAGGAGTCGTTCCTGGCCCATTCTCTTCCACCTCAGGTCTGGAGGGGTGTGGGCACATCAGTGTCTCGGCCCCCATCGTCCGCCTGGGGGATCCCATCACGGCCTCCTGCATCATCACGCAGAAATGCAGCCATCTGGACCCGGAGTCACAGATTCTTTGGAGACTGGGAGCAGATCTTCAGCCTGGTGGGAGGCAGCAGCATTTGTCTGATGGGACCCAGGAATCTACCATCACCCTGCCCCACCTCAACCACACTCGGGCCTTTCTCTCCTGCTGCCTGAACTGGAGCAACACCGTGCAGATCCTGGACCAGGTTGAGCTGCAGGCAGGCTGTAAGTCCCTCCAACCATTCATCTACTCTGCTTCCAATACCCTCCTGCCAATACTAATAAGAATATTACTGGCCAGGTACAGTGGCTCACGCCTGTAATCCCAGCACTTTGGGAGGCCAAGGCAAGGGGATCAACTGAGGTCAGGAGTTTGTGAGCAACTTGGCCAACATGGCAAAACCACGTCTCTACTAAAAATAAAAAAAATTAGCCAGGTATGGTGGTGGGCACCTGTAATCCTAGCTACTCGGGAGGCTGAGACAGGAGAATTGCTCAAACCCGGGAGGCAGAAGTTGCAGTGAGCCGAGATCACGCCACTGCATTCCAGCCAGGGCAACAAGAGCAAAACTCCATCTCAAAAAAAAGACTATTACCTATTGAACTCTTGCCTAATAAGCACTTTATGGGCATAATATCAGGTAACAGTAGTATTGGTGCTACTATTTAGCCCCACTTTGCGGACGAAGAACTGAGATTCGAGGAGGGTAAGCAACTTGCCTGTCACATATTAATAGGATGGAGGCAGTGTGGCTCTAAAGCCAGTGTGGTGACCGCTACTCTACAGAGCCCAAGTCCTCAGCCATCAGAGGGTGTCTCCAAGGAGAACATTCTCTATCAGCTGGGTTTGTCCTCTGCTTCTCCTCCACCCCCATCTCAACCTTCCTTTCAAACTGAGTAGGATGGAGTTTGTGCCAAGCTGAGGCATAAGAAAAAACAAAGACCAAGGTTCATGTTTAAGAATCAGTAATGGGCCGGGTGCAGAGGCTCATGCCTGTAATCCCAGCACTTTGGGAGGCCAAGGTGGATGGATCATTTGAGGTCAGGAGTTTGAAACCAGCCTGGCCAACATGGAGAAACCCCGTCTCTACTAAAAATACAAAAAATTAGCCAGGCGAGCCGAGATTGCGCCACGGCACTCCAGCCTGGCTGACAGAACAAGACTCCATCTCAAAAAAAAAAAGAAAAAAGCATCAGTAATGGCCACTGCTAACCCTTACATGGCATTTCCTGTGTATCAGGCACTGTTTTGAGCACTTCAGAGTGAGTCATTTAGAGTGACATTAGAGTGAGTCATTTAGCCCTCACAATAACACTAGGGGGTGGGTATTTTACCATTACCCCCATTTTACAGATGAGGATGCTGAGGCACAGAGCAGTTAAATAACTTCAGGATCACAAGGCTAATGAATGGCAGGACCAGGATAAAAACCCAAACACTGCACTGTCACTGACAAAGAGTCTGGAGTTGGGGGGCTTGGACCTGGGGCACCACTGTGCTGCTGGGGGCCTGTGATGCTTGCCCCTGTGCGTGCCTGTAACTTAGCTTCCCCCAGTGCTGCCCTTCCAGAGCCACTCTGCCTGGAGACAGTGGGGACCAACAAGGTGACAACTGAGGAACCGAGCCAGGGACCAACTGGTCCCACAGGGAGCTTTCTGAGTGTTCTGGGTGGTCCCACCCAAAGCCCTCACACTCTTCCCACCTACATGCAGACCCTCCAGCTGTACCCCGCAACCTCTCCTGCCTCATGAACCTCACAACCAACAGCCTCAACTGCCAGTGGGAGCCAGGACCCGAGACCCACCTACCCACCAACATCACTCTGAAGAGCTTCAAGTGAGGAGGGGCCCCCACACCCCGGTCCCCTCCCGTCGGGTTCTGGGATGAGCCATGGGTAGGATGGTGGACATGCCTCTGGGAGGGAGAAGGGAGCCTCACTTTCTTCCTCTGCTTGACACCCAAGCCTGGACTATTGGCAGGAGCCGGGCCAACTGTCAGACCCAAGAGGACTCCATCCGGGACTGTGTGCCCAAGGATGGGCAGAGCCACTGCTCCATCCCACGCAGACACCTACTGTTGTACCAGAATATGGTCATCTGGGTGCAGGCAGAGAACGCACTGGGGACCAGCATGTCGCTACAACTGTGCCTTAGTCCCATGGACGTTGGTGAGTTATACTGGGTGCAGGGGAGGGAAGGGGTCCCCAAAACGGGCAGACACAGAGAGGAATGGAGAGGGAAACACAGGCCCAGTGACAGATGAAGAGACACTGGAAGATCTAGAGACAAGGGCGGAGAAGAGAGACAGAGACAAGGAGGGGTGCAGCTGGAGACAGAGAAATGGGTACACAGACCCAAAGGCCAGAAGAGACACAGAAGCAAGGAGACACATTCAGTCATGCTTTCAGCACGTTTTCTGAAGCACCCACTAAGTGTAAGGCACTGCTCTAGGTACTGGGGATACAGCAGTAAACAAAGCATCCAAAATCCCACCCTCAGAATGTTGGATTCCAATGGGAAGTTAAATAAGATAGAATGTCAGATGGCAATAAGCAGAAAGGAGAAAGTAAGGAGGAGAAGGACACAGAGAGAGGGGAAGGGGAGCAGTGGCTATTTCAATAGGTTGGTCAAGAAAGGCCTCACTAAGAGGGTGACAACTGAGCAGATCCTTGAAGGAAAAGAGGGAGCAAGCCACTGGCTATCTGGAGGGAAAACATTTCAAGCAAAAGTAACAACCAGTGCAAAGTAACGACCAGAGCAAAGTAACAACCCGTGCAAAGGCCCTGGGGCAAGAGCAAGAAACAGAGACCTAGAGAGAAACAAAGACTCATAGAGACCGAACCACAGAAACCTGCCATGGCAATGTGGGCAGACAGTGAACCACAGACAGGGAGACAAGAGGGAGCTAAGACAGAGCCCTCTAGGGTGGGGCAGGGAGAGCTTCTGACAGCCCCACTCCTTGCAGTGAAACTGGAGCCCCCCATGCTACGGACCCTGGACCCCAACCCTGAAGCGCCCCCTCCCGAGCCAGGCTGCCTACACTTGTGCTGGGAGCCATGGAAGCCAGGCCTGTTTATAAATCAGAAGTGTGAGCTGCGCCACAAGCCACAGCGTGGAGATGCCAGCTGGGCACTGGTGAGGCGGAGGGCAACCTGGAGAGCCTGAGGTGGTGGGGGTAGGGGCAGGGTAAGTTGGGCTTGAGCTGGCCCTGGAATGGCCCAGAGATCCAAGGCTCAGAGTCATGTCCACCCCCGACCAGGTGGGCCCCCTGCCCTCAGAGGCCTTTCAGTATGAGCTCTGCGGGATCCTCCCAGCCACGACCTACACCCTGCAGATACGCTGCATCCGCTGGCCCCTGCCTGGCCTTTGGAGCAACTGGAGCCCCAACCTGGAGCTGAGAACTACTGAACGGGGTAAGGAGGTGATGAGGGGCTGGGAGCAGTCATCAGTATCCACTCCAGGCCCCAGGGCCCTCCCTGACTGGCACCCTCCTTTCTTGTTCCATCCACAGCCCCCACTGTCAGACTGGACATATGGTGGCGGCAGAGGCAGCTGGACCCCAGGACAGTGCAGCTGTTCTGGAAGGTGACTCCCTCTGAAGGCTACCCCTCTAC